ATTAATTTACAGTGTAATATACCACCGGGGGGTCTGGGGGGTATGGAATACCCCCCAGGCAAAAGGGAGCAACTTAAAATGAAACTACTCTCTTTTGTGGCTGAGGGGCATCGAAACCTCCCAGCGGCAAATGCCCCACATTTCAGAATAAAAATCTATAACTGCCCACTTTCATTAATTGACAGTGTAATATACCACCGGGGGGTCTGGGGGGTATGGAATACCCCCCAGGCAAAAGGGAGTAACTTAAAATTAAACTACTCTCTTTTGTGACTGGGGAGTATCAATACCCCCCAGAGGAATATGCCCCACAATTAAGAATAAAAATTTATAACTGCCCACTTTCTTTAATTTACAGTGTAATATACCTCCGGGGGGTCTGGGGGGTATGGAATACCCCCCCAGGCAAAAGGGAGCAACTTAAAATTAAACTACTCTCTTAATACTCCCCACAGGAATATGCCTCACAATTCAGAATAAAAATCTATAACTGCCCACTTTCATTAATTTACAGTGTAATATACCACCGGGGGGTCTGGGGGGTATGGAGTACCCCCCAGGCAAAAGGGAGTAACTTAAAATTAAACTACTCTCTTTTGTGACTGGGGAGTATCAATACCCCCCAGAGGAATATGCCCCACAATTCAGAATAAAAATTTATAACTGCCCACTTTCATTAATTTACAGTGTAATATACCACCGGGGGGTCTGGGGGGTATGGAGTACCCCCCAGGCAAAAGGGAGTAACTTAAAATTAAACTACTCTCTTTTGTGACTGGGGAGTATCAATACCCCCCAGAGGAATATGCCTCACAATTCAGAATAAAAATTTATAACTGCCCACTTTCATTAATTTACAGTGTAATATACCACCGGGGGGTCTGGGGGGTATGGAATACCCCCCAGGCAAAAGGGAGTAACTTAAAATTAAACTACTCTCTTTTGTGACTGGGGAGTATCAATACCCCCCAGAGGAATATGCCCCACAATTCAGAATAAAAATTTATAACTGCCCACTTTCATTAATTTACAGTGTAATATACCACCGGGGGGTCTGGGGGGTATGGAGTACCCCCCAGGCAAAAGGGAGTAACTTAAAATTAAACTACTCTCTTTTGTGACTGGGGAGTATCAATACCCCCCAGAGGAATATGCCTCACAATTCAGAATAAAAATTTATAACTGCCCACTTTCATTAATTTACAGTGTAATATACCACCGGGGGGTCTGGGGGGTATGGAGTACCCCCCAGGCAAAAGGGAGTAACTTAAAATTAAACTACTCTCTTTTGTGACTGGGGAGTATCAATACCCCCCAGAGGAATATGCCCCACAATTCAGAATAAAAATCTATAACTGCCCACTTTCATTAATTTACAGTGTAATATACCACCGGGGGGTCTGGGGGGTATGGAATACCCCCCAGGAAAAAGGGAGTAACTTAAAATTAAACTACTCTCTTTTGTGACTGGGGAGTATCAATATCCCCCAGAGATATATGCCCCACAATTCAGAATAGAAATCTATAACTGCCGACTGTATTAATTTAATTGAATGAGAGGTCGGGATGTCCCGTTTCAGGGTCTTAAGTGCTCCCGGTAAATGTGGTGTACAAGTGGGTTACCCCTCGCAAGCTACCGATATAAATACCTGAAAATTATCAACGGACGGTGCCTCGACTAGCGCTAGCAGCAAAATTATGATCGACATAATCAGATCCAGCCCGTAATACCACGCGTTATGTACGAGTAGGTACGCGGGTAGATCGTTGGGATGTCGAGGGTGCGAGTCGAATTTCTCATTATTCTGTCCTTCCTGCATCATAAGACACTTAAAGTAAGCGTTGGGGGCGAAAATAAATCGCTACCTCTAAAAAAATAGCCGCCTCATGATAGTTCATCTCCCAATTGCCCTCCCCTCGTTCCATCTCCTGATCGTTATCGCAGCACAATGTCGATCGGCTGCCCATTTCGTCACCTTCAACTTAATGGTTAATTACAACAGATTATTGAACTAGATATAACTCGTTTGTACCGACAGTTGTTTACCCGAAAACACAAAAAAAAACTCGTTATTTACTTACTGGTGCTGTTCGAACCGTACGAGACATTGTGGATGTCTTCGGTAAAACGTTTGTAGCCATCGTCGTCTGGTGAAGAACTCCTACGGCCCCTTGCCATTATACGACGAGCACACAGCTGATCTCTGTGTATGTTTCGACAGTTGTTCGCGCAATTTAACTGGGGCAAGTGTTGAATTCTGCTGTATGTCGCCTGATGGATAGGCAACAGTTCGTACGCCTCTGTAAGACCTTGAAGTAGATCGCTTTTGTTGGTATTATACGGGGTGTAGTTGAAAATTATCTCTTGACATCCTTTTTCCTCTACACCCTTCACAGCAGTTTCTTCTTTTTTAACACGTGACCCAAATTTTCTTTTGTTGAAGGTGTCCATGATTGATCTCCTTTCCCCAACTCTTTCCAGTACTTCCCCTTCCTTTATAATATATCTAATTCAAAATCCTTCTCCATGTTTCCAAAGCTTCTATTCTCCATGCTTCACAAGCACATCCAGTCTGCTTTCAGGTTTCCTGCACACCTTTCTGTATCGGGCCACCCCATATCTCCTGAGGGGTGGCAAAAATCAGGAGGTTCTAGGCAACCTGAACTCCCATGACCTGAAACCTAGGAGCTCGACAAAAGCGACACCGGTCTGATGGAACACTCCCAAGGGAAGTAGCTCGAAACACTGGGACCGTAAAGGATACCAGAACGAAAAAATGGCTTTTTTTCCATGAAGCATGAGAGGTTCCACCCTGTATATACAACTTACGACGATGCAAACATTTTTGAGAGTTGGCAACCACGCAATTTTTAGGAGGGGATAAAGTCCCTACTAATCTAGGGACTTTAGGAGGGGAAAGCGATTTGCGCCATCTGACGGGCACGAACGTGGGTTACGTTTGGCTTCTTGTCTTGAATGGCGGTCGTAAACGCGTCGCTCCATTAATGTTTGTTGTTATTTAATGCAGGTAGTAATTATTTGCATTTCTTTATATCGTATTTGTGTTTTGTATGCCGCATTTTATATTTTTGTGTGTTTCAATCTTTGTTTTTGAAATTTACTTGGTTTAACCGCAATGCAGAATCACATGTGTGATACCGTTATGCTATTGTTTGTAATTGTTTACGTTTTTGGTGTAATGCTTGCTTAATTTATGTTTAGTGATGTTGATTACTTGGTCTTGTCCCTGAAGTAACATTCATATGAGTTTTGATCATTTTATTTTAATATGTGGAAATTACTGATTCGTTTGATGTATGTACGGACTTGTTGTTTGTTACTAACAATTTTCTCCGTGAATGAAGCAGTCACGGGGGTGGTAAAAACTGTAACCATTTGAAGTCCGACACCCAATTCCGTGATTGTCTTCGACATTCAACTGTAGGCTCGAAACCCCGAAACCAGGGGCGGGTTACCTATCTTGCAGGAGCGGGATTACGCTAATCAAAGCTCTTCAGTTTAATATCTATGTGCGATTAATGAGTTACGATTCGTAATTTCCACATATCTTGTTTTTAGTTAAATTTGCCTACAAGGCCATGCAATTTTCCATCTTACTTTTAAAAAAAGGACTTTATTGCACCAAAGACGAGTCACATCCTGTATATTTCGCCCTTTCTTAGAATCTTGGTACCTGCTTATTTGACACATAATTCCCAAGGCCTGGATCCTTGCATCGAAGTGTTGCGGTGATCGCGAAATTGCTCGGAAGGCGAGATTGAGAAGATTTTGGATGCCAAGGGTAGGCCGTCACTCGTGCCAATTGTTCGCTGTTCCTCACACCTCCGCTGAGTAATTAAACAAAATGGCTTTCATTCAAAGACCGTTCCCTTTTCAATGTTTACAAGCTTATATACCTGTTTAATCCGTGTCATGTGTTGCGGTGACAGTCGGTGGCGTCCATTGGTGTAGAACCTTTGTAACTTTTTTTCATGCCTTCTGCACTAACTCCTCATTTGTGCTACCTGTAGTCATATTACAGTTATACAATAAAGTGTACTTTCTTGGTGGTCAGAATTATATTAAAGAACTTAACATGTAGTTACAAACTATAACATTAATTCCTTCCCTACAACCATTTCTGTCCCCCAGATTCTGTTTCGTGTAATGCTAAACTGCATATAACGTAATACAGAGGAATGTAAAAATCATAGGAAAATGCACAAGCAATTTGCATGTAAATCTTTTTGTTTTTAAAACCTTACAATTATGTACTGCCCACTTTCTGAGACTAACTTGGTCCATGTGTTAAATGGATTAATAAATATTTTACTATAACCTGTGAAAGACAATTACACATTCTGCCGATACGTCTCTTCGATTTTCCCTGCCAAATTCGCCTCGCCTGGGTGATGAGTCGAGAAGTGCCGTTTATAGCTGTTCTTAAACTTTGACTTATAGCTGCACAAGTGACACTGATACATTATACCCTTGTGCGCGTACTTGTGGTAGCGCATCGCGTATCTTCTATCCGTCGTGAAATCGCAGACGTCGCACTTGTACTCGACCGTAGTGTGACGCGTCATTTCGTGTTGTTTCAAGTTGTCCTTCCAGTGAGTGGTGTAGTCGCATTGGTCGCACTTTAGTTTGATCGACGTGTCGTGCATCGACGTGTGCCTCTTTATGCTGTAAATGTACTTCGTTGTGTAATCGCACCAGTCGCACTTGTACATCTTGCCGCTGTGATTTAACTTGTGGGTTCGCAGGTTGTTCCGATTTGTCGTTGAGAAGTCGCAGTCTTCGCAGCTGAAGACTACCTGTATGATAAAACGGCATTTACCAAAGAACTAACTGCAGTTTTTGATCACTAGACTTAATGCCGACGTTTTGGTATCAAAAGAATTTCTTTACGATGAATCTCCGGCTCGAAACTTACCGAATTTCGTCGTATTTAATAGGGATTTCCCATTTTTAAACGACCCCAGGGGTCAAAAATTACTACCCTCCTCGGCGGAGTGAGGGTACGGGATCAATGGCGCCCGAGATAAATAGAGTTGTTAAAGATATTCTCGAATAAGTGTCTTTGTAGTTCCTTCCACGTTCCAGTTCCCGAAGTACAGGATCATGGTCAAA